CAGGTGAAATTGAGTGCACTATAAGACGACCACTTCATACATATCCTGGATGAAACTCAGTGCAACAGGACGCTAAAATACAACATTACAGACATCCATGTCTTGAGTGGGATGAGAACCCAAATCCCAGCATTCCAGAGAGCGAAGACGGTTCCTGCCTTAGACCGTGCGGCCACTGTGATCGGTTTATGATGTTATTCTGGACAGGAGAACCTTAGCTGTAAGTTACCGATTAACTGGAGCCCTTCCGATTTAAGAAATGGAAACATTGGGCTGTGGCCCGGCCTCGTTTCTTCCGGGTATCTCTTGTGACAGGTTAAAGCATAATCCCATATGCACAAAAAAAAAACTCCGTGTCCTGTAGTCCGCAAGCGACCGCCGCTTGTCGGTGAAGTTAGTGCCAACTTTTGCGGATAGAGGGTGTCGCGTGGTCAGCGAAACGGATCCCCAAGGCCGTTAATTTCGGTTTTCTAGACATGAGCCGCAATTTCCTTGAAATAGCTCTTCAGTTATCCTCACGAGGCTGAGTGGAACCCGTTCCAGACCCACTACTTCTCAGAAAAAATCTGGTAGCTCCGGAATCGAACCCGGACCTCTGGATTTGTAGCCAGGAACTCTGACCACTAGACCACAGAGGCGGTCCTCATATGTACAAGGCATTCAAAATATTATGAGATGTTTATTTGTTCGTCAATATTACTTTGNCTCGTCTGACACACAGAATTATCGCTATAGTAAACTGTCGTTCCTCTCCGATTTCGAGGAATAAAACCACAAAAACTGGATCGCAGGTCCATGGTGTTACTNTATATTTTGATTTTCAGATACACCAACTCTGTCACATTTTTGACGTATTTGTGCCTCGTGAGATTTTTAATTTTCATTGTAATATGTATCTAGATTTAGTGTCTTTTGAAATATTTTAATTTGTGGTTTGATAACTATCTGGTGCAATACATGATCAATATCCCCCCAAAACATTATATTATATNTATCCGTGTTGCTCACTGCAGTGCATGCTAACTGCTTCACGCTGGTTGGCCCTGCATGTGGAGCGATATTTTCCTCCGAAATGTCGGTTGAGTTTCAACGGACTACACGGTGCTATAGCCCAGAAAACATAACTATTTCAAAAAAAGAATTTCTCATAATCCTCAAAGGTTCTTCATGTCTGAGTAAAGAAAGTATTCAATTCAACACTTGCAGATGATGATAATCATGATGATGACAGTAAGATCACAGTATGAGTCTTCAGAAACTCTGAAATCGCCAGATCTTGTATTTTTCCGAAAAACCTACCGAAGCTTACCAAAATATGGTGGAAGTTATCCTCAATTCGGAAATTTCCAACAGAGAATTCGTGTAAATTGAAACTTGTCAGACGTCATATCGACTGTAATCTGTTATCGGGTTGAGACACTTTCCTGCTAAAAGACTGATTACATGTTTTCAGTGTTAGCGTGGAGGTTGCAGTAACCAACCGCATAGGCCGCGCCATAGCTCAAGCGGCTTCCCACCGCGGTGGCCCGGGTTCGATCCCGTGTCTGATCAAGTTGGGTTTGTGGTCGACACAGTGGCGCTGGGGCAGGTTTTCTCCGAGTACTTCAGTGTCCCTTGCCAATCTTCATTCCACCAATTGGTCCACAATCACCCTCACCTATCATCCGGGGCTGGTACAATAGGCCAGAAGTGGCCGCAGTACAAGGGACTTAGTCCCACCCCACTAGCAATAAAAAAGAACCCGACCGCTTAACTACACAAAACGAAGAGTAAGAAAAAAATTTAATTTATGTAAGATTTGAGGTTTTCACGGCGGTGATTGTGAAGAATGCCGATATTTCGGAGGAACATAACGCCTCCATCTTCGGGCTATTTTCTTATTATTCTTTTTCACCGAAAGAATATTAATGAAATTACTACGACCTCAACTTCCTTCCCTAATATCCGTCATAAACTAAATTTTCAGCATTCGCAAACCAGTGATCTCTCATCTCAACAGTTTTCATTTTCATATAACATATAACCGACCTTCTATTATGGTGTGTTAAAAAAGTTCGCAAATCGATATAAAAAATTCAGTGGTAGTGACATACGTGCTCTGATATCGTCTGGAGCTTCCTGCTTCCGGAAATCGCTCAGGGATATTATTATGAATGAGAATCATTACTAGAGAGGACACTTCAGAGTCCGAGACATGCGTGGAAGAATAAAGATATAAAGCATTTTAAGAAAATGGAAGGAGAGAAGGTAGATTCTACACTGGTTTCAAGTACCAAGTCATTCCTCATCCGAAACCAAGCAAATCTCTAACAAACGATTGGTTTTCTGAATGAGTCGACCAATTACAGTGGCAGAATAATTAAATATTACAACTAAAAATCCAAGACTCTCTGCGATGTGAATCCATATTATTCTGATAGAAGTTTCTCAAATCTTCAGAGGAAGCAACTGCCTCCATTTTCAAGGTAGAATAGTGAAACGAAAAATCAAACAAGTTTCATGCAAAATAAGTACTTATTTTGCTTAATCTTCAACCCTAAAGATGGAGTCAATATGTACTCTGAAACGGCGGAAAACTTCTACTACGCTATATCGCATCATATCACAAAATACAATCCTCTCCGCAGATATCCCTGTGAGAATCTCAGATATCACACAAATGAACACTCATCTGTGTGCAGTCCTCATATCTTCGTACCCTTGAGAGGCTGCGTTATATTGAGAGGAAAATTGGATTTACTTTCTAATAACGGGTTTCAGTTTTATTGTGTGACTCTTTCCTCGTGTAAAACTAATGGTAAAGCTATCCCTGTAACAGGCCGTGGAGGCCCATAGGGTTTTGCTACGTTGAGGTTCCCACATTTTCTAGACAATCGGCTCACAGATGGCAGTGAGGTTGTCAGCCTCAAGCACAGGCCGCCCTTTAACCCAGGAAGAGTCCTGGTATTCATTTCTGTTACAGGCTGAGTCAACCCCAGGGCCATAGCGCGACTGGAAAAATTAGGTCAGTAAAAATTCCAGCCACCTCATCGGGAATAGAACCCGCGACTTCTAGCATAGTGCCTCAACCAACTACGCTACGGCGTGCCTCCGTTTCCTAATTTACTGACCTCTAATTATATTTATAGGATAATTTAATCGTGTGTTGTTAAGTGAGAAATGTATTTTTAGTCTAGTTTCTCAGTTCCTGCTATTCTTCTATAACTGCTGATCTCTCTTATTGCTTCCTACCTCGTGAGCTCTATAGCGGCTGGTGTAATGCTTCAGTTTCTGTACGTATGGAGTTCTGTGATGTCTCTTGACATGTAGGTTGGTGCAGTGTCATGAGGCAGAAGGACACCCACCGTATCACTGATCTGATCCACCTGGGTTGAGAGGTTTCACATTTACCCGTGCCTGCGGCGTTTCCTCGGAGTAAGAGCTTTACGTCAGATAACACAAAGAGCGTAAAAGCGAATTCGTGATCCACCTCAGAAAAAGAAAATATTTTTCTTAGAAACTTCCTACAAACTGAAATGGGAAATATCAAATCGACCTCGGTACGGGATGGTCGTTGTGTATGTAATATGATCGTGTAAGGGACAGCTAACGTCATACACTAGAATGCTTCTTTGGGTGCTAAAGGTAGACCAGAAAAATAGATTCCAAACGGTTGTGACATTGGTGTAAATCTCTCTGTATTAACGGGTTTTGAGGCTATGTACTACTTTCGTTATTATAAAGAACACAACGTTTTGGAAACTGGATCTGTTTCCGTCCTCAGGTGCTGGGGTGGGGGACACCTGTTCTTTTGGGTCTGTTAGGCCGCGCCATAGCTCAAGCGGTAAGTCGCTGACTTCCCACCGCCGCGGTCCGCGTTCGATTCCTGGTCTGGTCAAGTGGAATTTGTGGTGGAAAAAGTGGCGCTGGAGCAGGTTTTCTCCGAGTACTTCGGTTTCCCCTGCCAATCTTCATTCCAACAATTGCTCCACAATCTCCCTCACCTATCATCTGGGGCTGGTACAATAGGCCAGAAGTGGCCGCAGTACAAGGGACTTAGTCCCACCCTACTAGAATTAAAAAGAATTGGGTCTGTTACAAAAATTCTAACCTCAGTTACAGATCCAACAGATTAGGTGTTTACCACACCCACACCTGAAGAAGGAAACACATTGCGATTCCGATACGTTGTGTTCTTTTGTGTTCTTTAGAAATAAGTCCAAAACTAAAAAATNCATTGCAATTCCGATACGTTGTGTTCTTTTGTGTTCTTTTGTGTTCTTTAGAAATAAGTCCAAAACTAAAAAATCAGATGAATGAGAAATTTTATTCCTTTTTATGGAGCGTGTCCTTGGATGCTGTTATTAGCCTGATGAATCCGGTTAACACCGCAATTTCCTTTTCCTTTAATACAGTCGCTCTGTCTACGCTCAGATATTCCAGGTGATTTAGTTACTCCATTCACGACTATAATTTTATACGCATTCTTTCACTTCTCTGTGCATGCTAATCGCGGGACTTTGCAGCAACGCCGATAGAGGCACCACTGAACGTCTGTGTTGCTTACAAGGATACACGCGAAGCAAAAACTAAACAGAACGTATATGAGAATACAACTCAAGGATAGCTTTCACATCAGTGGACGCGGAAATGGAAATGGCCCATACTGTTTCCGGATACCGGGCCGGATTTTACCATTTTGTCTCGCCAATATACGTAAACAAGACAACTGGAAAAGCTGCTTGAAAATCAGTCAGCAATTGGTGTGTAGCCGAAATAATGCAACGATTAGACGAAATGCTGTGACAAATTGACCCATTTGCTTAGTCATATAAAAGAATGCATGAAATAAAATAAAATATACGGATATATAAATAAAAACTAGACGATTTTTAATTATTAACGTTTAAATTCTGCTCGAATGGCATATGTCACCAGGGGTAGAGCTGGCTGTCATAAAATACTCAGAGAGCAACAAGGTTCCAAATAGGAGTCAAGTCACTTGAGGTGGACGGACTCACCCACTGTGAGGAGGGAGCTCGAACAGCAGGCGATCAGAAGCAGGTTCCACGCCGCCTTCATATCCCGCTACATGGCTGCCCGTAACGAGACACCAGCGCTGCAACACACAACATGACTCACTACTCAAGACAAGCGCATTGTTCCCTCTAATCTATAATATCCATCTCTCTTTACTTTCCCCAGCGAATCTACAGTGCGTTTCTATGTAGCAGCTTTCGGCTGTACAGTCCCCATCAAAACTACATTTTTCTATGCATTATATCAATACTTGGAAGAGCTTGCGTTATGGGAGAGAATAATATTTAAATGGATCTTAAATTAAATGTGAGCGACGTTGTAGACTGTGAAGAAAGCAGCCTTCTGAGATGTGGGGCAATGTATATATTGTGTTAACCGACGTTTCGGAGGAACTTATCGCCTCCATCTTCATGGTAGAAGAAAAAAGAGGAAAATCTGCAAGCGGGGAACCAGCGTGAGTAGGTGCTAACAGACTATGTCGAGTAGAAACCCCATTAGTATTAGAGCAGGAAGAGACGGGATTGGGGGCACATGGAAAATCAGTAGAGAGGAGAGGCGAAGGGTCTGGGGAGGTGGGCCAGCAGGTAGACTGATTTTTGTGGTGGCGGAGTTGTGCTAATCCAAGATTCGTGAGAGGTAAAATATGGTCATGAGTCCCGCGGAATTCGAGACCAAGAATAACTTTACTGGCGAGGACCAGCAATATTTGCCCGATCGACCGACCGAGTGTAGGCCGATTCCTCTGGCTTGGGATAGGGCCATATTTTGGGTTAGTATAAACATTACAATAAAAAATTGGGCACCGTAAAAGGCGAGGACTTTCTTGATTAGTTGGGCAAGTATTTGCTCCTTAAGGAGGACTATGCTCCATAGCGCTAATTATGAGAGACGGGTGTTTAATTCAGAATAGAAAAAAAATATTTGTAACCGGAAAAGCGAATTTTCTGCCTTCAATAATTTATTCTTAAATCCTCTGGGTTGTGGGCAAGTTCATTTATTCTGATAAAATCGAATGTAATAAAATTTAATGATTTTACAGAAGTAGTAAAATCTTGTGTTCGTTTCTTGTCGGTAAATTTGATATGCACACCAATTTTGCAGTTGATCATTCAGTAATTAACTACGAAATTTGCTTCAGTGAAACGACAATTTAATAACACAATACCAAAGTAAATATAGGGCCTCTTTTTACAGTGTTGTGTATTTACCGTTTATTTGCATTTAACATAGAAGCATAATCGAACAGTGATAGTAGAGATAGGTCTGTAAACAAAACAGAACAATACTGCTCATAAACTTCTGTTTGCAGTTTCCTCTTAATGGGAGATAATTACCAGGAATTGTACAAATTATATAATTTACATAAACACAGTCGAAACACCGAAATCCCTCCGTGTTCTACGGCGATCAAATTTTGGGAGATCACTACGCCAGTTTCATTTGATATGTGTTAGGCAGTTTAGGAGATATTGATATGTGGGCTAGAGAGGATAATTTAAAGAGGCTTTGGGAGCTGTATATTCATACATACATAATATATATCTCTCAATTTGTCTGTAGATTTGGAGAACTGCTTAGTAGAGACATCACAATTATGGTGACACCATCACACTCTGAAATAACACATAAGTTCACGCGACCCTATCCTCTGCCAGTTGGAGAAAGGAGTAGTATTGTATGTTTCTGAGGCCTTTATGAAGCTATAAAGTGCAAGCAGGGACCTACTTAGCTCTACAGGCTCTATACACTTACAGCAAACTACAGAAATTTACTAGGGGTAACGTTCCCACCTCATGACTCAAAGTACGTGGGTTCAAAAACCCAGTGGAGGTCGTGGAATTTTTAAGGGCGGAAAAATTCCACTTCTCCGGGAGGGACTTTAAGCCGTGGGTCCCGTGTCGTAGATTTACGGCACGTTAAAGAACCTCATGTCTCTAGGAGACCTCTGAGCTAAATTAGGCCAAAAACTTTCCCGCCCAAGAAGTTTCCAATGCCTCCGGTAGATGGGGAAGTATTGGGTACCACTGCCAGAGGAGGGACGATTTCGCTGACAGAAAGGGACTAACTATTAGATACTACTGCCAAGTAGAGAGTAGAAACCTCGCTGGCAGAAAGGGGCTGATAGCGAGCACCAGTACCGGTAGGGGATGGAGACAGTAGAAATTAAAAAATGGGGACGTTTAATAGACTATCAGTCGCGGTGCATGGGGAAACCCACCCCCTCAATACTGAATAACTGAATAGGGTGACAGATATTCGCGAAATGTTTTCGCCGGTTGCAGTTATATATATTTTCTGAAAACACGTATATAAGATCTTAGTGATTTGTTGAGAGTATCCGTAGATGTGACTCAATCCATTTCTTACTGCACTGCTAGTGTCTTCTCTTCTACTGTGACTGACTTGGTTCTGATTTATGAATTGGTCACTTCTTCAGTTTCCGTTGTCCGCTGGTTAACACTCCACTACTGAACTACCTTCTGAATCCTCTTATGAATGAATCACTAATGAACTAATTGAACTAACTTGCGAATGAATCGAACTGAATCGAATATACGTACATCACCATCTGCAACAGTTCGTCTGTTACTACTTCCAAATATAAATCACTCCGTCCAATGTGACCTGTAATATATATTTGTAATATATATTACAGGTATATATTATATGTAATATTTGTTACTGTGACGGATCAGAATGAAATAAATAAAAAATGTTACTACTTCTATTCTTTGCCGCTGGAACGTATGTTACTTCCATGGCAGTAGACCACTCCGGCTTTCAGGCGTCATATCACAGCATCTTAAGCAATCCTGTCCTTCATAGAACTGCGAGGACACAAAGGACTCATACACCTAATACATAGACTAGGGCGCATGGCTTTTTTACTCCCACTAACGTTCTTTGTTCTATGTTTCATAACTAACTCCAAGGAACAAAGATATTCTTATGAAGCTAATAGTAGCTCATACAGTTAAAAGGTTACCTGCTTTTATCGAACACGAAGTCCCGTTGCTCTAGTCACAGTAGCAGTGCTTGTTGAAAATAAATTAACTTACATTCAATGTTTCTTTCACACTCATATCCAGTCTCATGAAACTTCATTCTTACGTCATTAACATTTCATTAAATATAAAGCGATTGTTTTCACAAACGTATAGAGACTTTGATCAATAATTTTCTGTTCAAGGCGTAGCAGGAACTGAACTTTTTTTTGTCACATTCTGATTTATTGGCGTTTCAAAATGTACAAAGGAAACCATTCGTGCGGATTCGGTTTCGTAATGGAATTATGATTTTCCCTTTGTGAGTAAATATTACTTCAAAAGCACGAGTTTGTCCTGCCGAATCCATGACTGCTTTTCAATTATCCATGTGATTTACTGCCACGATACTAGAGGGTCTCTGTTTAATGACTGTACCACTAGGAAGTTCCAGAGAATGATTTCTATATGGATGTTGATTTTATCGGAAAGAGGAAGTAATTAAAAATGTTCCAGTAAAAGTGGCATTGTCGAACACAGTTATGAAGCTGCAGATAAGGGGTATAATCGACGTTTTAGTATTATGTTTACGAATGTACAGTTTCGTGCGTTTATGCTTTCAAATTAAGAATGTTTAAAGGCAGTGATATGAATTAATTTGTTAGGGATTAATTATGCAATATTCTGAAATGTTGCTAGTAATGATTTACTTTGAAGTCTACATACGACAATATGCTTTTCATAAGGATTCAGAAGAGGGTCACGGAAAGATCTTGGAAACTATGATAACAAATTTATAATTGTGATTCTATTATAGCGGACCACTAGAAACGAATTTCGGTTAGGTCCAGCGTAACCGTAACATTTCTTCAAAAGTATGAGAGAAAATTTCTACCGAATGGCATTTATTAATTTAAATCAATTATTTTATAATTCATTGATAGTGATAGGATGGTTGAAGCAAACTGCATAATGAGGAGCTTCATAACTTGTACTCTTCCCAAACTATAATTAGAATGATCAATTTGAGGAGGGTAAGATGGGCAAGGCATGTTGCACGAATTGTGGCGAATGCATATAGGATATTGGCGGGAAAGCTAGAAGGAAAGAGACCACTGGGAAGACCAAGATGCAGGTGGGCGGAGAATAATAAATTTGATCTTAGAGAGATAGGATGGAATGGTATGGTTTGGATTGATCTGGCTGAGGATAAGGACCAGTGGAGGGCTCTTGTGAACACGGTAATGAACCTTCGGGTTCCTTAAAATGTTGGGAATTTCTTGAGTAGCTGCACAAGTGGCAGCTTCTCAAGAAGGGCTCAGTTCCATGAATGAGTGAGTGATAATACGTACCTTGATATAAGGATCTCATCCATACAATAAAATGTCACTTTCTACGTTGGAATTATAGTTAATTCTGTTTTAAAAACAATCAATGTTATCTAAGTTTTGAGGTTTTCACGGCGATGACAATGAAGAAAGTTGTCTTCTGGGTTTAGGCACCGTGTATTCTTCGTTTTGGCCGACGTTTCGGAGGAACGTAGCGCCTCCATCTTCAGAGCAGTCGAATAGCTGCGGAGAGCAGTAGCTGTGGTGATAGGATGTGGAAGGTGCTGCTTATATACGAAGTAGGCAGGGGGGTGGTTAGGGAGAACGGACCAATGGGAGCAGTGGAGAGCGATTAAGGCCATATATGGTGTGGGACT